TTATTTTGTAAACTTTACCTCTAACCAGTGCTTCATAGACACCGGTTAGAGATTTTTTGATTCATCTTTTAATCTTATAATTTACAATTATATATTCAAAAAATGTCAAAACCTAAGCATATTATCGAAGAGGTTGAAGAACCAACATCATCTTTGCCTTCTAGTAAGCACATGATAGCGACTGAAAGTGAGCTTAATTACTATTTGAATTGCAAGGGTTCTGAGATTACCAAGAACGTTGATCTGCAGGCTTTTGAAAAAGCCTATCCCAATGAGGAAAAACATTTAAAATTTATGCATGCTTTTTTACTCTATTAGCAAGCGCGTATTGAGGTTTATAGAGATATTAAGAAACGATTTCCTACTAACAGGAACCATTCTAAATATTTTGAAGTTCAAACTTGGAAGAAAACTAATTTTACAATCTCTCAACGAGTGGCCAAAGCTTTAGAACGTCAGTTAGAAGACCAGATTTCTGATCTTGAAGATTGCATTAATGAAAAATTACTCAAAGCAAGAGAAGCTGATTCTTAATGAATCTATTTCAATTTATTATAACTAAACTATATCATCATCATTTTATTAATTTTTAAATAAATAAAATTATTATTATTTCTATCTGGTTCTATGTGAACCTGATAGAATTTTATTTGTTTAACTAAAAATGCCGTCATTACTAAAAAACAATCTTCTTGATTTTAAAACTAACAAATATAATTTTCATACTGATAGTCTTCACTATAATTCACAAACCATACTTGTTTGTCAAAGCATATAAACCAGAAATCGTTCTAGGCCAATTTACTGCTTTACCCGAAAATATCACCATCAACGATATCAGCCTGATCATTCACCTGACAATCATGAATCTAATAATGAGACACTTCGATCAGAAACTCCTTCTGCCGATTCATCGGCTCATGCATCTGACAGAGCCAAAACCTTATTACTGTGAAAACTGTTGTTTATTCAGGAAGACCAAGTATTGTACACCATGCCAGAATCCATTGTTCAATGTTCAAGATTTTGATTCGAATTCATATATTCATCACCAGGACAGATCTTTCGACTCTAATGGCATAAGATTTACTGATCGAATTTTAACGTACAGTGATAACGAGATCATGATAGATAATTCTGATTAATTATCATCAAGTAATTGTTATAAATTTTTAATTAGTTTGATAAAACCAGTTAGAAATTATTTGATTCATTTTTTATCATTATGAATTAGTATCTTCAAGTTCAAAAAGATCATGAAAATTATACAAATTTGATTGATAGGTACACTACGTATCTCAACACTCTTAATTTTATGAAAAATGATGAAATTTCTGTGGAACAATGTACTCTAGAGATTATTGCTCTATTAAATGTAACTAAAAATTTAAAGGATCAAGCTTATCAGAAGCTTGATGTATATAAGGCCAGTGAGCATAATTTTAGCCTTACCATATTGGTTTCAGATTCGAAAAATATTTGGTTATCTCAGTGCATCAGTCCTCTTAAAGATCATCATCTTTTGTGGCAAGTGACTGGAGGGCATGTGGAATTTGGTAAATCATTTATCGATTGTGCAAAACGTGAAGCCGAAGAGAAGGCCAATATCATTATCAATAAACTTTTTTATATTGCTAAGGTTTTGGGCTTTCACGAGTTCCTGGATAGGAAGGAGTGTCCTTACAACTGTGCTATTTATTTTTCCTTTATTGGCAAACAGATTCCCAAGTGTGTTGAGCCTGTGAATAACAGTGAGTGGCAACCTTATGATGTTGCCGATTTTGCCAAGCTAACCGACCTTAACCTTCTTTCTATAAAAAGCGCAAGGAGATTGTTGAGGCTATCAATGTCAAGTTTCATTCCCATGCTAGGGCCATAACTGCCAAGAGAAAAAAAGAAACTGTTGTGGAGGAAAATATTGAAAAGAAAAAAAAGATAGATAGTGATAGCCTATCAGATAACAAATCACTTAGATAGCGAGTCATTTTATTTTTTATTATTGTATTTACTATTTAGTCTATGTTGACTGAATGGATTTTTAACTGTATAATTTGTTTTTTTTTTAGTTATATACTTTTGATGCAATATAAAAAATCGAGACAGGATTTTGCGTTAGAACATTTTGAATCTATTAACGATTTTATTCAATGTAAAATATACGTGAAAAAATATTTTAAACCATATTTAACAGATACCATTAAGAAACATATTAGGTTTAAACACTGTGATATTTGGAAAACGTATGATTTCATATCCACAGAAATTCATTCTACTGCAGCAACCACAGATTCCATGATGCCCAGAATTAATTCCATGATGCCCAGAATTAATTTCATGATACTTAGAATTCATTCTACTATGGCAACTACAGATTTCACGATGCCCAGAATTTATTCTACTGCAGCAACCACAAATTTCATGACACTCAGAATTAATTCCACGACACCCAGAATTCATTCTACTGCGGCAACCACTCAAGCCCAATTGGCCCCACAAATTTTATCAACTGCTACTCGTACCAAAATTCCAATTTCTATGTCATCAACATTATTAAAAAGAATTTCACTTTCATCCCAAACATGTCTAATGATGAAGTATTTAACTATTTAAACTCAATAAGATTACTTGGGTCATTAA